TATATAATTTTCTTCCAGATTATATTCCTTTTCAAGGAAATGTGGATAAGCAAAGGTCATGACTAGAAATTGCTAAAAAAAAAGCAGTAAGAAAGCAATTCAAAACTCAAGAAGTAGAAGGTGCTAACTATGTTTACAAACATACAGGTTTTGCTTGAAGACTTTTAAATTATTGGTTATTTAAATACAATGTTTCTGAAATATAACTACTGGTTCTAAATGTACAGACTAAATGTGTTTTAAAAATTTAATTATTGCTGCCAGAGGAAAAAAATCTGCCAGCATTTTAAAAGGAATGTATTGAAAGTATAATAATAAAATCCTTGCATGTTATGGATTTGATTAACATTTTACTCCTTTGGGATTCTAATTGAACAATAACAGGAGTTCCTTAGATTTTAAATACCACAGACAGGAATAGATTTCACTAAAAACAGATGTGGAACCCTTATGTTGGCCTTCTTACTGGTTTTAAGAACTAGCGCTGTTGGTCATTGGTACCTATTAACATGTTTGTTATTTAGATTACAGACCTAGAAAAACTATACTCTTTTTACTCATAAAACTATATGTTAATGAGGGGCAGTTAGATTTGCACTTCAGCTATATAGCCCCTTGCTCCTAATTAAATATAAAGGTAACATGAAAAAAAAAAAGAATATTCTACTCCAATTTGAAAAGGCCCTGAAACATAAATAGAACATACATAGGTGTACAGACTCAGTTTTGGTAAACTTGCAGTAACCCTTCTGGATTTTAACTCCAATGAGTAGTATTCTTGATTATTCCTCCTAATATTTCAATCTAAAAATTATAATTTCATGCAGGGATGGAATTCAGTTTTTTTTTACTACCGGTTCTGTAGGCGTGGCTTGGTGGGCGTGGTGTGGCTTGGTGGGCATGGCAGGGGAAGGATACTGCAAAATCTCCATTCCACTCCAGGGGAAGGATATTGCAAAATCCCCATTCCACTCCAGGGGAAGGATACTGCAAAATCTCCATTCCCTCCCCACTCCAGGGGAAGGACACTGCAAAATTCCCATTCCCACCCCACTCCAGGGGAAGGACACTGCAAAATCCCCATTCCCTCCCCACTCCTGGGGGAAGGATATGGCAAAATCCCCATTCCTACCCCTCTCTGGGGCCAGCCAGAGATGGTATTTGCCGGTTCTCCGAACTACTCAAAATTTCCGCTACTGATTCTCCAGAACCTGTCAGAACCTGCTGAACCTGGTTTACATGGCTCTTTGAGTTTATTTAAAACCTGCTGTTTTATTTTTAAAATGTTAATTTTTGTTTAATTTTTTATTTTACCACTCTCAATTATTCTTGGTCACATTTATTTATGCATTTATCTCTTTATTGGCTATCTTGTGCTTATTTATATCTTTGAAACCCATTAAATCATGAATGCTTGATTTGGCAAGGCCATCTAAGTCCACTGACCAGGCGAAAAGGTTTAATTCAATTAGTTGGAGTGCAAAACCTTTTCTAAACACCAAGGCCACACAAACAGCCTGTCCCACTTCCAGTTCCCGGCATAGCTCCTTTAACCATCATTTTTTTTTCTTTTTACAATACTGTAGTTCCTTAATTGGGGTAGAATCAGAGTGACTAAGTAGAGCTGAACATTAAGTGGCCGGATGCCCTTCCCCACACCTAAGCAGAGTTTGCAGCAGATTTTTTTTTCTTTGTGTTCTGAAAGAGAAATATCTGCTGCTACCTAGTATTGAATTCTCAACCTTCTGAGGGAAGGCGAGCATCTTCATCACTAGGACACCATGCCACTCCTCCCTTAACCATCACTACTGGCATGTTATTGCTTGTTTTTAACCTCCCTGTCATACATTCCTTCCTAAATACCCACAAGCAAAACCTACCTCTTAAAAGATGGACTTCAGGTATCAAAGAGACTTCTGCCTTACATTCTGTATCCCAATCCCAGACTAACAGCCATTCTCCATTCATAATCAAACATTTCCACCATCTGAACCATGGTAAGAAATAATTATCTCTGGCCAACCAAGGTAATTATTTCTGGCCAACCAAGGTAAGAAATGACAAACAATAACAGGTTAACTATGAAATACCCATGCGCCCCTTCCATCTCCCACCTGGACGGAGAGCAATTGTTAGTAAATCCAGCTCAATAAAATCTTCCACCATTGCTCCATCTGAAGCTTTTTCATAAGTTTATGAGGGAAAATTGACAACCCACCAATATTTTTTTTAAAAAATCCCAAAATTTAAAACTATCAAGGTGATGAATAATCAGTGGTTTTTTTGGAATGTGTTTTTTTTTCCTCTTGAAAAAGTTGGATGAAAAGATAACAATACAAATGCAAATCTGTGGAGATAATTGACAATAAAAAGTGCGTTTTATTTTTCTTTACAGGCAAGATTTGTTGAATTTTCCTGTTATTTATTCGTTAGGAATCAGAATTAAGTGATTTTGGTTTGCCACACCAAAGTGGGAATATGTTTACTTCTTGCCATTAACTGATTTTTAACTGCTCAGGCTGTGCTGAGGTCTCAAAAGCTGGACATTTGAGAGTCCCATTGTGGACTAAAAGTTAAAGAATGAAAGATTTCCTCCGTCTTTCTTCCACATGCTGATAACTACTCAAAAAAGTTTGTAAGCTTTCTTGCAGACAGCTAATCTCAAAGGAAACATTGGATATGAATGTTCTTATTGATGACTAATGATGCATTATTCCTATATGTCAGTTAGGTATTTCCTATGGAAAACAATAAAAACACGAATATTGGCCTATTTGTTTAAACTACTGGAAGTTTTCAACACTACGTTAGTATTCTAACGAATGTGAAAGTTTTTGCTTTAGATCCTATTGTCTTCAGATGAATTTGGATCACAGTTAAAGAGGAAAGTGAAAGTTCTAATTAAACACTGCAAGAGAAAAAATATTCTGTTAATTAATGAATTCTCATCAGAGTCTTAAAAACAAAGATCTGGTGCTTTAGTAGCATTACTTTGATTCAGCTCTACAGCAATTACCCAATAGGTTTTTATTGCCATAAATGATTTAAAAAAAGTTTTGCATTTTCAGTTGTACAAAAAATGAGAGAGATGCAAGTTGTCTGGGTAAAACTCCCTCATCTCTCACATACCTCACTCACATGCATCCCATAACCACTTTCCCGGCCGGCCGTCAGCCCTCAGATGGAGAGTCAACAGTCCCTAGGTCTGGAGGTGGCTGATGAAGAAGAGGAGGAACAGCTGGGTACAATGCCTGACGCACAGATGTGCAGAAGGCAGAGGAGAGGACAGCATCCATGGGCCAATCCTTGGGAAGGAAGAGCCACCGCTGCTAGTGAAGCCCAACCCTAGCTCTGGGGATAAAAGGCAGTGGGCGGAGATGAATAGGTGTGGCAGACAAATATTCATCTCCCTGCCAGATAGACTTGTTAGCCTGCAGTGAAAGAGAAACTTTTTGCCGGGGCTGCTGGCACTCCTAATAAAGGAATCATTGCTTCAATTACAGAGGATTTGTCTTGTTTGGGGAACTGGGTCAGAACACGGATGGATGTGGCTGGCAAGAGATGATCCTTCAGATAACCTGATCCCAAGGCATTAAGGGCTTTAAAAGTGACAACCAGCACCTCAAATGGTACCTGGAAGCAAATCAGCAAGCAATGCACCTCCTGCAGAAAGGTGACACATATGCACCAAGGTCTGCACAAAACCATGCAGGCCTGATTGTAGAAACTAAGTGATATGGTACCCCTCAGAAGTTTCTTTATGATACATTGTGGGTTACTATTTCTAGATGAAAGCAAACCAACTGTGTTGCTTTGTGCTGCTTTGTTCTAGAACTCCCTCCAGCTTTCTCCTACAGATCTTGCATTATAGGAGACTGAGAAAACCCTTCAGTGGTGGACACTCAAGGCAAAAAAATTCAATGGTTCCATCCAAAATGTTTCTAGATGGCTTTAGCAAGCACTTTGGGACTTTTCACAGACTGCAAACTCTGCTAGTTTGCTAAAACTGCCAAAGCTTTTCTTGGCTGGACACTGTGGGGCAACCCTGTAGTACATGTTGAAGTTCTTTAATTTAGAATGTTTGGGTGCATGCCCCATTTTTTTCCATGATGCAGAATGAATCATATAATATTACCGAAGTGGCTCAGCTAGGAAAATGTTTTTGAAAGGTCTGGCAGAAAAGGCAGAAAGAAGTTTTCTCTCACAGCAATGACCCACAGTAACTTAAGGCAAAGTGCATAGTTTCATTAAGAAAAAATGCATTGTCCTTTTGCCTTGACAAAGCTAACCACATCTCTTTCAGAGTGCAAATGTTTTTGCCAAACTGAATGTAGGTTACTTTGCACCAGCTCATTAACTACTTCTTAACATTTTCTTTCACCTCTGATGAACAGGGCTTTAGTGTTCCATTTCATGCTTCATTTTTAAATTTACAAAAGAAGCTCCTCTTTGGCTCCACTTCGGTGTCATGGACACAAGTCTAATATTCTAGTATACAAAAAAGTATATACAATTTCAACTTTGGTCTAATTTTGTGAAAAGCATAGGTCACAAGTAAAATTTTCAGTTGTGTATCCATGTACTAAGCAACTCTTGAATATCATTCATTACCAAGCCTGTTTCATCAGACCATTTCACTTTAAGTGCCTGTTAAACTAATATTGACTTTTCCCATTAAAACAAAATCTGATATTTGTGCTTAGAAGACTGAAAAAAAAATCAGGAAGGAAAAGAATGAGTCTTCTTGACCTTCTTCCCTCTATACCTTTGAGAATTAGTTTATTTGTGATATAAACCTAATAGGGGATGTAAAGAGTGAAGACATTCAGACACAGAATCTATATTTTCTATAGATTTCCCCCACCCCCAATATTGTTTTTAAAAAGAAAAAAAAACATTCTGAAAAATTTCTTTATCACTTTAATTAGTCTGTTTGCTATCCTTGAAAATTTGCTAACACATTTGTATGCCTTTTATAAACATGGTTTGATTTTTCTTACCTGTATCCATTCTCTAGTAGAATCAATTTCAGGCGTCCATCCATTTTCAGGATAATTTAAACGGGACCTTTCAGATGACCATTGGGGGTTATATTGGGAAGAGGCAGTAATCTGGTCAGAATGAATTTCACCAGATTCCATGCCAAGTGGTTCCATGCACTGGAAGTCTGAGCAAAACAACAACAACAAGCAATGATATTCTTATTGCATCCCTTTTAGGCAGGAATACTTAAGTATTATTATGTTGCCTTATAAATAAGAAACCGCTGCAATATAAAGTTCTGCAACAGAAAGTTCTGATTTCAGCTTTCAGGATTATGCTAGACAATCCATGACTTGCTGGGTGATCATTTCAGAGACATTACCTTACTTAAACCAAGAAACAGAATGACTATAAGAGGGCAACGAAAAGTGGAAATAGGAGCAACTTTCAACTTCCCCACTGACTTTCCTTGTAGGAAGCTGGCAGATTATCATTGGCAATGACAATTATATGACTGTGGCTGATTGTGGTGGTAGTACAGCCATGTGACCATGCTGAAGAAACCACAACTTTGCCAAATTTCAATCCCAGAGGAGCAATGGGTCTGGAGTTTTGATGCATTCAGTAAATTAGCCTATTTAAGGTACACCAATTCACCTTGAATAAATTTCTGTATTTGATGTATTTGTTTTGATTAGAATTTTTTGCATTACAACCTATCTATCTGCTCTTCACACACACTTTACCTCATCTCATTCTAGTCCTTATAACAAACATTAAATTCATACAAAGAAAACATTTTTGTAGCAATAAATGGTATAATAACATAAGAAAGGACAAACAAAGGGATGAATATAATTAATCTTAACTGCAATTTAAATCATGTGTGAAATTTTATTAGAAAAGATCAAATTGGATCTGGTTGGTCAGAATGTTTCCCATTGAAAGAAATATTTTTAAAAAGCCAAAGAGAAAAATTATAACTGATTGTACCAAAGTAGCAGGGTTGCTACTTTGAAAATAGAAAATATGTTTTAGATATTGTCTGCTGCAATTGTATTGTGCAATTAAGAGCTCCTGAAACTTAAAGTGGAATCTCCTATAAAGCTGCTTCATATCAAGAGCCCTCAAGCTTATTAATTGAAGAATTATCTCCATAAAACAGAGAATAAGCATTTTTTTTGTTTTTTAACATTATTTTGCTTAGCAAACAAATCAAGCGAAAGATTTGGGGTCAGGTGCAGATAACTTGGCAATAGATGGGATTCATAATTCTTGAAAGACAACAGATCACTTGTCCTTGTTAAGAGATTCCCAAATTTTGAAGTAGAATAATCTTCTGTTCAGAGTGGTAATTAGAGGTTCTTGGTGCTCTCTGAATTTAGTTGTTTTCCTGGAGACATTTCATGATGTAACTAGTTTGGATAATGAAATGCTTGCAAGAAAACAACTAAGGACCCCTCATTTCAATCCCGACAAATATTCTCCTTTATTAGAGTGGTAATTTCTAGTCTCACTATAGAGGGATTCCTGCTTATGCTGTTTTTTTCCTGGACAGTTATTTCTAAATTTAAGTCCCCCCCTCCTCTTTTTTCCTGATCCTTCCTCTCTTTTTCTCTGACTCTGACCTTTAGCTCTATCTTGGAATTACTTATAGCTAAGTTCCCCTACATGCAGAATGAAAATGGTCAGAAATGCTGTTTTCCTATGAATCTCAGCATTTTGTTGTTATTTTAATATTATTCATGGCTTCATGTATTTAGTTGCACTGTCTTTGGCTGGGCTACGAATGGAATGATATTTTGATAGTTCATACTTTCTGAAGATATTTAATTTTAATTGTTATTAAATAAGAGAGTAGCATCTGTATACCAATTCTATCTACCTTCTGTACATCTACCTACCTTCTATCTTCATATTTAACAAAATCTTTAAATGAACACATTTGTTTCAGTAATCAGATTTAAGGTGAAAAGTGTTATGTGTTTGCATAAATAATACGTGTTCTTATTTTTATTCATGAAAACTAAAAAACAGGTTTGTGAGAAATCTATATATTAGAAAAACTCTTGCGTCTGTTGGTTGTTTGTAACCTTCATTGGATGAAATTGTGCATCATAATGCAATAGTTTTTGAATCAATGTACTTCAACTGGGCTAACTTACAGAATGTGTACAGAATATGGGACCTATGATTTGAAATTTGGCAAAGTTGTGACTCTTCAGAGATGCAGCGCTGTCCTGATTATCTGAAGTCATGTGATTGACATTTCCAAAACTCCTTGCAAGCTTTCTACAAGAAAAGTCAAGGGAAAGCTAGCAGGAAATTGGAAGTTTCTCCCACTCCCAATGTTTTTTTGTTTCCCCCCCCCATTCATGGTCATTCTGTTTCTCTGTTTAGGTAGGAAATATCTCTGAAGCGATGACCAATGAGTTATGAGGGGTCTAGGTTTAGTTAATGGTTAAATATTAGTTAAGCAGTGGAGCACATTACTCATATCAGAATGCTCAAGCCTCTAACTTAATACCTAATATATCCTCATAATCTTATATTCATATTCTATAAATGAAAAAACAAGCTGATCTTGCAAGCCAATCTCACTGATATTCCTCCTCAGTGTTGCAGCAATGAGATGCCAAATACAGGTTGCAATGTACTTGAAGAATAGACCATATACATAAATAATTATAATTCATGAAGTCCTGGGCAATTTATATCTAAGTTGGATTTCATTGTTTAAATTTAATGTTCTCAGTTTCAACAAGGGTAGGGGAAATCTATAATTTAATGACTTTTTACAGGAACTAATAGGGGTGGATATGTCTCTTGACACTGAAAATGAGAAGAGTTGTTTTAAAAACATGTGCACGCAAAAGGACACAGGTCTTATTTATCTATGGTTTCCATGTGTTTCATACAGTACTCAGCAGGAGAGAAGATACAGAGAATATCTTATGCAGCACTCTGAAGGATGACTAAAATACTGACCTTCTGGAACATTGTTGTGCACCACAGTATAGTTTGCAGAGAAACCTTCTTTTGCTATTGCACTGTCAGTATAGAAAACCATGGAGAGAATGCCAGTTGATGAGAGGACACGACCGGGTGTGTTTTGTCCACAGTATCGTCCAATGTGAGGACCAACTGAAAGGAAGATAGTAATACATATATAAAAAGAACAAAGGGGTTGAATGAATCTTTCCAGCTACAAATGGTTAAATCTTTGTAACAACACAATTATGCATTAGTAGAAGTTACTCAAGAGATTATAGGAAGAGAGACCTATATGACAGGAAGTAGAAAGTATCCTCCAGTGATTGCATCTTATTAATCAGGAAACAATCTATTGTTTCAGCTCTGCAACAAAAGTATTGCTCTCATGATATTCCAGTTACAGATACTTGAAAAATATGTTTAGATATCTTTAATAAAATAAATTTGATTTTTGCACTCTGATCTACATACTTTTTTGAATTTTGTGATGTATTCTTAGAGAACTAAGAAGAAATACATTAAAGTGACATTTTGAAATAAAATACAAAAAGTATAATTATGGAAGTACATAAATATTATTTTCTTAAGTTTTTAAATTAAAAATTATACATTTATGACAAATATGACAAAATGGAGTTATGAATGAACATGGGGTAAAAGACATTACAAACAAAATTAGATTAATCCATCTAACTATAATTCAATTAATAATGGAAGATATAGGAATAAACAACATATATTTCCAGATAATGTATTTTAGTATGATGTCATAAATTGTAAGATAAATGATTATAAATATGAAGGAACATTTTTCAGGACAAACTTAAGAACGAACAAACGATTTGGCTTTCATAAGCAGATCTAGAAGATAAAACACTCTAAATGAAAAACTAACAAGAAGGAAAGTTAAATTGAAATAAAACAAAAAGTATCTTATCTTTTAGAATTAAACCAAGCAATACAGAAAAAATAGAAATACACAGAACAAGAATTTCTTAAAGAGAATTTTCACTGTGTAGATTAGAATAGTTTTTTTATTTGTTTATTCTTACTATCTCATCAATAGAAGAAATAAAATAAAGTACACAATATGATTCCATGATAAAACAGATAAAAGGAAATACAGTGATAAAATACGTATCTGGTAATACAAGTAGTTAGGCAAATGCATCTCTCTTACAGGAGGTTACCTCAATTTGTTTGATGTATTGGATTTTTTGCTTAATTGCCTTAATTATAAACTGCTTACAATAGATATATTGTAAGTTCTGCTTATAATAGATATATTAGAGTCCAGGAGGAAATAAGAAAATCTGTGATTGAAATTCCAATTGGCTGTTTTTTCCATTACAGATGATAAGTATCTATGCCTTACTAAGGGGGCATGTAATTGACAGTTGAACAAAACATAAGCAATATTTTTGATGGCTGGGGTACCATATGTGCATATCGTCTCCATGATATGCCAAGTGGTAGAAATACATGGAATACAACAAGTCAAATCTTGCTCCAAAATAGGCCCTCCTTAAAAATCACAATGTATATATTAAAAATGTTGTATTTAGATGATATCAAACATAGATCAGTTAGATCAGGTTTTGGTTGACTTAGTTTGCTTTGGATTCAATGGGATTATAGTACAGTATTCATCATTTCTTTTTCATAGTTGACTTTATCTGGAAACCCAGCCAATAATTATGAAGAATTTAACTATACAGATAGCCCTGATTTAATGATCATCCACTTAGCAAAGTTATGATTGAGCTTCTCAGAGCTACTTACAACCTGGTTCTGGAGTTCTGACTGCCACTCCCACCCCCATAGGTACATAACAACTGGTTCAAATCAGAGGTGGGTTTCAGCAGGTTCTGACCAATTCTGGAGAATAGGTAGTGGAAATTTTGAGTAGTTCAGAGAACCGGTAGTAAAAATTCTGATTGGCCCCGCCCCCATCTATTCTCTGCCTCCCAAGTCCCAGCTGATCAGGAGGAAATGGGGATTTTGCAGTATCCTTTCCCTGGGTGGGGGTGGAAATGGGGATTTTGCAGTAACCGTCACCTGGAGTGGGGTGGTAATGGAGATTTTACAGTATCCTTCCCTGCTACGCCCACCAAGCCACGCCCACCAAGCCACACCCACAGAACCGGTAGTAAAATTTTTTGAAACCCTCCACTGGTTCAAATGTATGGACATTTGGAGTGTCCCATCATCATGTGATCACAATCTTCATCATTTAATGCCATGGTCCGGCTTTTAGCAAAACTGCCCATTGACCGCCACATTTGCTTAGCTATGGTGGTTGCTTAATGACCGGAACATTAAATAATATTGATAACTTTTATTGTTTTCAATCTATTTATCCATAGATTTGTGCATCTGTGCAACATTTTGAAACCAGTTTATAATGCTCACAGATGTCTGTAAATTGTGGTTAAAAACAGAAAAAAGAAAGATAGTGGAAATGGTGTCTGCTTGTTTTTATACCACTTCTTTGGATTTTGCATTGGCTTCTTATTAGCTTCCAAGTCATCTTTAGTACACCAGACTTACTGGGGAAAGATTCGTTGTTCCCATTTTGGGGAGGAAAAGAAAGCCAAAGTCTAGAAGTGCCATTTTCCAATGATGGCTCTTTTGTATCCTGTTCTAACATTTATTTGTATCCAAACTTCTCTGCCTTCCATAAAAAAACCTGAATATTGATTTTTTTCTGAGGCTTTGCAGACTTGATACCGTACATTTGATTTTTAATATATATATATATATATATACATATATATATCTTTTATTTTATAACTAGGTAGCCAACAAGAGTACAGATGTGGTAAATAAATAAATGTGTGTCATACATGCAGTGCCTATACAAAACAGGTGGAGCTTTGATCATATCATCTTCTATTCTGAGTATATCTCATGGTCATCCCTGAAAATACGGTTTAATTACTATATATATATATATATATATATATATATATATATATATATATATTCTATTCTGAATTAGCATTCCCTGGAATTCTGGGAGTTGAAATCCACACATCTTAAACTTGTCAAGTTGAAAAACACTGCTCTATCCCTATCCATGCTTTGTAGCTTCAAGCTTTCCTCCTTTGCTCATATTATGTGCCACTAAAGAAATAATTCACATTCAGTATGAAATATTTCCTTTCCATTACGATAATAGAGGTATTCACTGAAGATATATGCCAGTGAACTAGCCTCTGGAAGCTAAGAACAACAAATCTTTTGCTAGTTAAAATCTATAACAGGATTGGCTAAAGCTCCTAAGCCTAAGAGCCTCTTACCACAATTTCCATATGGCTTGGAGCCAAACACTACACAGATTCTGTTCCTTCCCCATCATCATTTCTCCACTCTCAAGAATTAAATCAATATACTTGTCCCTTCCTTCTCTCTCAACAGCTTTACCCATAAAGCCTTATTTCCCTTCACAACTTCCCTTCAAACTCTGCAGTAACCTTTCCAAAATAACCCTTTATGTTTCCTCCTTCTTGCGATCCACTACCTGCTTTCATTTTTTTTTCTCTCCTCAGGTCTCCTTCACTTTGAGGAACCCTTACAAATTTTCATAAATGTTACCAAATGCAATCTTCTACTACTTTCTATTCTAATGGCAATGTTTTTTTGGCCATGATTTAGGAAAGTAACAAAGAGTTTGTTCTCTGTTAGGTAAGTAAACTAACAAAAACAAAACATGCTTCTATTAACAATTCCGGATCCCGTTCCTATTTATGTACAACATTGTTTTATTTGTAACAATTCATCTACCATGAATAAATCAAATTATTATGTTAAAAGGCTTATACACCTTTTCAATATGAAAAATATCTGGGTTGACTCCTGAAGACAACATGGACAAGTCTCTGCAATTTTCTTGATAAAAGTTTTGGAAATGATTTGCCATTGTCTTTTTCCTAGGGCAGAGTGGGAATGACTGGCCCAAAGTAAACCAGCTGGCTTTGTGTGTAAGAAAGAACCAGCACTCAACAATGTTCTGGTTTCTAACCTGGAGCCTTTAATCACTACACAAAACGGGCTTTCTGTGTGATAGCTATGAATAAAAAAAAATTGGCAAAAAAGGCAACATATTATACAATCTGAAGAGAAATAATATAAAAAAAGAAACTTGGTCAAGAGAAAGAAATTTTGGTCAATATGTGGCACTTGTTTTATTTTTGCCAGCTGAATAGCACTTAGCACTTAGACTTACATACCATTTCATAGTGCTTTACAGCCTCTCTAAGCAATTTATAGAGTCAACATATTACCCCTCCTCCCTGGCAGGGAGCTGAGTTAGCCTGCAATACTGCATTCTAACCACTGCACCACCATAGCTCTGAAGAATTTGCTAACCCTGAACTTTGGTAATTGGCAATGTGTTTACAGAAGAATTTTTTCCCCATTTGTGGCTTATTTTTCTTTTCTATGTCTATGTATGCACATACTGTAGATGTGTATGAGTCAATCATGCACATCTACAGTATGTGCATACAAACAATATATAGGAATTTTTGTGCTTTTAACATGGAACCAGTCAGTATCCAGACTTCTCCTCTCATTGTATTTCTGCCTTCTGTTCAATGAACAAACATCTGTGTTTAGCTCTTTTTCACTAAATCTTTTGATCACTGTAGCCACAGAGTTTAATTAGGGGGGAAAAAAAGGAGTCCCATTAAATTGTACTGCAGTACTTATTCTGATTACTTGATGGGCACATGTTTTATTGGCAATATGAGTGATTTGCCGCTGCTTTCTTTTACAGTTTCTAGACTATAGATCTGATATTCCCTCCAAAAAAGTTTTCTCTAAGTAGTAAAACCAAACTTATTTGAAACTAATTCAAAGTTCCATGTAAATATTGTCTTTATAAAATTGAATTTTAATTCATTTGAATATGTTTGTCAGTTTTCACAGTTCAGTTTGTCTCCTGTATAACTATGTATATTCAGCAAATGAAAACCTTGTAGAATATCATATTAAGAGGTAAGGGATTTTATTATGCAACATGTAAGGCTATTGTACTGAGATAATGTAATATTGATTTGACTTGAGCAAGATGAAAACAGGTTTTTTAAAAAAATCTTCCCACATAAGTACAGAGCATACTTGAAAAATTCTCTCTTTTTATTTTC